TCGGTAAGTAGGCTTCTTACCACCGTGAGCAAAATTACGCGTGACGTCAGACTTAAGTTTCGATTGGGAATTGGTCAATAGGCTACCAAAAATTCAGACAGAGGCGGAGTTTTCTGAACTAATGTTTGAACCGCTTTGTTGGCTTTCCGCCGTCTGGGGGGAGGCGTAATTATGCACACGGTAGACGCTGACAAAACTTGTTTCTCTTCGCCAAAAATCACATCAGAATTTGTCCTTGCTAAATGTTAAGTGTGCTGCATGTATCAGCACCCCCGGAGTACCCCTTTACATAAGAGGGCGGGGGTGCGCGCCTGGAATTTCAACGACCGCTATAGAATTATAAAAGGTACTTAAGTCTTATCCGTGTGGGAGTGGCAACAATTAGCCTGTAAAAACAAGTCTTTATGTCCTTTTCTGTTTTTTTCAATGCTTCCCTCGCTCCCACAGAGGATTTATACAAATATAAGAGCCGTGCGGCGTTTACATTGCACAGGCAGAAAAGGTCGTCCAGAATGAGTGTTTCGTTCTGTAATGAAAACCCCAATAAACTCACTCAGAAATGACTCGTTTCGAATAAATTTTACGCTAGTTATTATGTGGCAACCGGTATGAACTCGTTCTTGTACAAAACTCAGTCGGATATCATGTAAAAGGTCTCTAAAAGTTTTTATTCCCAGAGCATCGCGCTTTGCTCGCCTGTCTGAATACTAAAAATTTCTGTAGCGTTGAAGCAACAACCCGCTTTTAACTGCTTCGCTGCCGCTGAAACAACGATTAGTGAAGGAAGCACATATTTTAATTTTTTCAATTCAACGTAAACAAAAATCTTTATACAAGGTAAATATTCACTTGTGTCGGTATCAAATGATTGCGTGACTAGCCTGTGATATAAATGAGGGAGGGGAAAACGCAACGCAAAACCTGGGCTCCTGTCAAAAAGTAATACCCAGGCGTAATATCATAATCGAAACATTAAATAAAAATCATAAATCAAGAGTGTTATGTTAGACTTTTCTACAAATTGTAGTGATTTATGCCAATACCACTGTAAGCTTTGTGTTCACCATGAACTGGCGGTTCAAGTTTGAGCAGTGACAACCGTTAAACCACAATTCCCCAGTCGGGTCATTTGGGTAGCTTTTTGGTGAAGGGGCGAATTCTTGTCGATGGGGGCGAACTGGAAGGCGGCGAGCATCCAATGGAGCAACACCTCTGTAAATCACACCGTCAACTCAACGGTAACTAGTTATCGTGAAATAGTAACCGCGCTCTTACGAGGTCTGCCGATAACAGAAAGAGTTAAGGCTTCCACTTTCAAGGAAGTCATCACTATGCTTTTATAGCAAGCTTTCCGAATTTTTATCGGGGTGAGGGGGGGACAGGACAAGTCTTCTTAAGAATAGAAAACACGACGAAAAGTTTTTTCTCTCCCCCCTTATCTCAGATTTTTCTTTTGATGATATTAAAGTAAACAGCTATTGTCTTTTCCTGCTAATCCCTCGTTTCTAATAACGATGCCGTTTTCGTTAATTTGGATACCGCACATGAAGATTCGACGAATACCTAAAATTAATATAAGTGCATGCAATTATTCAAATAAACGCAAATGGCATTGTCAGTAGAATGAAAAGAAAATACAACAGCTGTCAACTTTGAATTCATACGTCGAGCGTGTTACAAAACCAGTACGAGTAAGGGAAATATTTCGCGGTCTCTTCACTGCACTCAAATTACATTGCCTTGATGTTTTATCCAGAGAAATTTCGAAGACATTCTATCTTGTAATTTTCTGGATAAAAAGATCTACCTTGGTGTCCACAGAATGTAATATTAAAAAGTACTCTTAATTCGCCAAGCCGCACCATGTCATTGATAGGAGGAACTGTTTTTAAATTAAGTACAATAGTTAAGAGTATATTAAAAACTTAGTCTAAAGAAAAGCAGGTATAACTCATTCAGTTCAACTGATTTCAGAGTTTGTTTTTTTAACACTGTAATAGCACAGCTGATAAATTAATGACCAACTTAGGGGCATCATAATTTCTAAATGGCTACATTTGATTGGCTGAGGTTCTCTTTGGATGTTTCTTTTTTAATAGATAATTTTTAATATATATTTTAATCATTTTATAAAAAAAAACCGGTTCGATCACTTTTCCATGATACAATTTGTTTTGTCTGAGCAATTGGCAGTATTTTCAACACTATCTTAATGGCACTGTGCACGTATATCTTGAACCGTTTTTAATAACGAGCAACAACCTCCTCGTAGCACATGAATCGCTCTGACGAACGGCTAATGCTCGAAACGTCAGCTATTAAACTCTTTGCGGTGGTCAATTTACTTATCAACACAGTTTATAATTTTTGGCTTAGTTTAAGGAAACCCTTTAAAAACTACTTATTTATTTTTAGAGGGTTTGAAGGAAGGTATTTGCCCCATTGCTATCCCGGTCGAAGATTGCGGAAATGAGACTTGGATTCAGATTGTTTTGGTGAAATGAAATGCTGTTCGGATTCTTGTCAGAAGCTGTGTGTTCAGCCTCCACAAAGTAAGTGGTCTCCTAGGTATTTCCTTTGTTGCCACCTTTTATAACTTAGACACTTTTGAAATGTAAACAAAGAGGTGCAAAAAGGCTTAGCGAAACAATGCCCCTGCGCCCCCTCCCCCCGAGAAAAAGTCGGAAAGTTTTCTACTCGAGCATAGCGATGACAATGAAATTGAACTCCTTCAAAGTGGAAGCCTTAACTCTTTCTGCAATTAACAGACCTCGCTCGTAAGTGCGCCGTCGTTATTTCACGATAACTCCGCGCCATTTAATGGACGGTGTGGTTCACAGTGTTGTCGCTTCATTGCATGTTCTTCGCCCTCCAGTTCGCCCCCATCATGAAGAATTCGTTCCCTCATCAAAAATAACAAATTCGCCCACATCTTTATCACTTGCCTGATGGTCATGATGTACTGACCTTTCTGCGCTCACTCCGTTCGTTGTGACCTCGAGCTAAATATTTTCGTTTCGCCCTTCCTCTCAGCACTAAGCACATAATTAAATTCTTCTTTTGTGTAGCGAGAGGATGTGATGATATCCTTTATGCTGGCTACAGCACTAGTGGTGTTTATACAATCAACCCTGACAGAAAAACAGAGTTTGAGGTGTATTGCGACCTAGAGACGGACAGTGGAGGATGGGTTGTGTTCCAAAGGCGACAGGATGCATCTGTCAGCTTCCACCGTACATGGAACGACTATAGAACGGGTTTCGGAGACCTTGGGAAGAATTTCTGGCTAGGAAATCACAAAATTCATCGGATCACCGCAGCAAATGAGATGTCGCTGCGAATCGAGCTGGAGGATTGGAGTGGAAAAAAAGTTTTCGCTCATTACGACGTGTTCAAGGTAAACAACGAAAAGAACAACTACAAGATCACCGTCATTGGTTACAATGGTACATCCGGGGATTCCTTGAGTTACCATAACAACATGATGTTCAGCACCAGAGACAGGGATAACGACATGTGGAAGACGGGAAGCTGCTCAAATGACCTGACTGGGGGATGGTGGTTTAACGATTGCCACAACTCAAATTTGAACGGGCAGTTCATGGGAAACACAAAAGCTTACAGTGGTATTGGCTGGGTTCGATTTAAACATAACCTCTCCTTAAAGTTTGTGGAAATGAAGATGAGAGCTCAGTCCTACCTGAAAGAAAAAGAGGATGAAAGGCAGAAATGAGTCGCTCACCATAGAGTCTCCAGTAGCTCAGTGGTTAGAGCATCCGACTAGATCACGGAACAATTTTGAGTGCGGATTTAAAAAAATTGTTTCATCTTTATATCACTTTGGAGGTTGGTTGGCCGCATCTTGATATGCCTTAATGTGACAGCGTGATGCTGTTAGTGAGTTTTCACAGGTGCTTACCAATACTTGGCTGTGTAGCCGCGCGATGCGGTTCCAGTCGAGGCCCACAAATTGACCCTCGCTCACCATAGAGTCTCCAGTAGCTCAGTGGTTAGAGCATCCGACTAGATCACGGAGGGTCGTGGGTTCAAGTCCCATCTGGGGCTCGGATTTTTTCTATTAAAAAAATTGTTTCATCTTTATATGCTCACTTTGGAGGTTGGTTGGCCGCATCTTGATATGCCTTAATGTGACAGCGTGATGCTGTTAGTGAGTTTTCACAGGTGCTTACCAATACTTGGCTGTGTAGCCGCGCGATGCGGTTCCAGTCGAGGCCCACAAATTGACCCTCGCTCACCATAGAGTCTCCAGTAGCTCAGTGGTTAGAGCATCCGACTAGATCACGGAGGGTCGTGGGTTCAAGTCCCATCTGGGGCTCGGATTTTTTCTATTAAAAAAATTGTTTAATTTTTTTTTTGTTGCATAAATTCGTGAAACAATTTTGAGTGCATTTATTAGGTATTTCTTACAAAAAATGGAACGCGTAACTGTTTCGTCCACAAACATAAGAGCTAAACCGTTATGCCTCGCACTAAATAACTAACATTATTATATCTCGCGGTTCGTACGTGGGCTATAATTAGTCGATTAAGCGGGTTGTATATCACTGTACGGCCCGCTAAACTCAACGGTTTGTGGTCAAAACCACCTTGAAGAATATAATGAACTGAAACAAATGAAAAAACTTCGCTGCTTCCTTCATTTGAATAGTCAAATGCTGTGTCTCATCCATAGACTTTAAAGTTAGAATTAATTAGTGGTTCTTGATAAACAGTAAACATGGAAGTACTAGTAAAAAGCTTTTATTTGATTACTCATAATATAAGATGTTGTCCAGGCCAGAACCACCTTGTACAGCATAATAAACTGTACTTCAATAAAGTACTACGTTTTAGCTTTCATGTAAATGGTCAAACACTAGATTGTCATCCACACCAAGGTATTTTAAAAAAGGCTCAGCACCCTTCATCTGAATGGGTCTTATCCATGGGTGTAAAAGTAGAAATCCCCTCTTACCGCATTGCAAACAGTACCATTTGCATTCATATGATTGCACACATGTATGTATGGTTGCATAACAAACAGCACCTCATAACAACAGTCTTCGTCAAGTATAATGGCACAAGATTAAGATGGAGTATTCTGACTTATCCACACAATTTTTAGGCTTCTACTTTTTCAATACAACCTGAATTCAACACTCTCTATTTGCGATAGTGGACAAAATTCAACCAGCAGCTAACTTAAAGAGAAGGAAAACCATTTTGTTTAGTTATTAGTAAAACGGCGACTAGCTTTAGTTTTCTTCCGATTAGCTGACAGATGAAGCGAAACTCTTGACCAATCCCTTTACGATGTTAACCGAAACTATATGTATTACAATCCTTGACACCGTTCATTTGCAGACTTCTTTTCACTTCTGGACGAAATAAATTTATAGTCCTCTCATTTGCCGATTCGCTGTTTTTCTGTTCTTTCTTTACTTTCTGACTCTAACAGGCTAAATATGCAAACACAATATCGCATTTTCACTTCTAATTTACATGTATTAATGTTACAAAAATACCAGCCCTCATTTTTAATTTACAACGGCCGTCAACATAAACAATAGCCAAACGTCCTATATTCTTTTCGTTTAAGCGCATGATGCAGAGTTATTCTTTGGTAAATATATGTTATTTGCCGGCTGGGAGGTCCGTATGGTGAAAAACTGTGACCGAGGTCTTGAAAATTCTGCCCGAGGCCGTAGGCCGAGGGCAGCATTTTCAAGACCGAGGTCACAGTTTTTCACCATACGGACCGACCCTTAGCCGGTAAATAACATATTTATTGTTTTTAAACTTGACGAAATTCTTTCCGAAAGAACCCGAATAATTTTTAGCCGTAAATACGGCAAGATCTTCCATAAACTGAACAATTTTTGAGTGAGTAAATGGTAGTTAAAATAGAGGTGATGCAAATTTAAGAGAGATGCCTCAGCGAAACATTTTCATTTCCGTAACGATAAAGGTGATTTAAAAGGCTTCCAAACAAACTTTTAAAACATTATTTTTACAAGTATCTGTCACAATCTGACACCTGTCAATTAGAGAGCGCGCAAGAAAAAAAAAGCGTAGGAACATTTGAAAACCAACAGAACTAGTTTGGCAAGGACTGTCACAACAATATTTTCTTCAAAATCAGTCAATGATCTAACGGAAAGTATTATTCACTCTCATCGACCATTCATTCATGTACGAAGATTTACCTCTGTTCATTAAGTAAACGGCGAGGAAAGTAATTGTGAGTAAATTCAATTTTTTTATTTTGAAGTTGTGAGAGTTTGCTCGTTTGTTTGCTGTAATCGCGTGTTTAACTCTGGTCTTTCCTTCACAAAAACTAAATTCGAACGGCACACTCCAACGAGACACAAGGGAATTTAATGCGGCCTTTTCTCAAAAAATTCCTTCAATTTCTGTTGTGCAATTTAAGGTGCAAATGTCCAAATTGAACGGAATTGGAAAGACTCACCGGGAGCGTATATTTGTTGTAGAACTTAAATTAAAACTTCGCTCGCTTTTTTTTTACTATGAACAAATTGCTCGAGAAAATTCAGATTTTAAATGAATGAAAGTTCCATCGCTCAGTTTAACTGTAACCAAATACCTCACGTTTCAACTTTCTGGGTACTTTTTGTGAACGATTAAAATTAATTGCAGACGGTTATTAGGCCGCTTGTCAACCAACGTAATGACAATATTGTTTATACAAATTCATTCTGAAACCAATATTTTTCTGTCAACCAAAGTGATTTGATAGAGATAAAAAAGAGGATTCATAAGTTATTTATCGGCTTGAGGTAGTGACCGACGTGTTTGCTTAAAAATACTGCCCAGCTGGAAAACGAGGTATATTTATGAAAAATGACAACTAAAGTTGGGATGTACTCGGCGACTCACGAAAGCGTTACCGTGGCCCGTGGACAGAGATAGGAAAATACTGACCGGGTAAAGAACCAATCAGATTGCAAGATTCGTTACCGTGCCCTCTAAAAAAACAATAAAATGTCTTATCTGTATTTCTTTCGGTTGAAATATCTAAAAATTTTCAGATTGACAGATACAGAGCCACAGTAGTATTAACGCTCAGTTCTCATGGCGGAAAACGATTGCGACCTTCTCAACGAGTTTTTCTCTGGAACCTCTGCGAGTGTTGAAGTTTTTCGTCCGGCACTTGTCGCTAATTGTGTCTTCAACGGCTTTTTGTGTTATACAACCATCATTTTGAACATCGTTACCATCCATGCGATAAGGAAAACCACGTTGTTGCCAAAACCTTTGAGAACATTATTACTGAGCCTGACTGCCTCCGATGTTGGCGTTGGTTTGTTGGTCCAACCACTCTACATTTCTGCTGTAGTCAGCGGTTTGAAACGAAAACGTATCGACTGCATTTCCTACAAGGGGTTGTACGTCGTTATCAACTTCTTTTGTACATCCTCGCTCTTGAATGTTGTAACCATAAGTGTGGACAGGTTCTTAGCTGTTCATCTTCATCTCAGATATCAAGAGCTTGTGACTCACAAGCGCGTCATTGCTGCGGTGATATCAATATGGCTGTTAAGCGCAATTATTTCTTCTATTGTCATTTGGAATCCACTGTTCATCATCTCACGAGTCGCAGGGTTTGTGAACATGACTGTTTGCCTCATTCTGGTGGTAATTGTCTACTGGAGGATTTATATAGTCTTAAAGCGACACAAGAACCATATTCAAAGCCTTCAAATCCAAGAAGCACAACAGGGAGTTCAAAATGGTGACTTATTAAACTTTTTGAAGCTTCGAAAGTCAGCTCTTGGAACATTTTATGTATTTATTGTGTTCTTGATTTGTTACTTGCCCAGCTATATTCGTCTTTTTTTTTCCCTGGCTCCTCCTTTAAGTCCAATTTCTTTAAACGAAGCTTGGCCCCATACAATGACTTTGGTTTTCCTCAACTCGTCTTTGAACCCTGTTATATACTGCTGGAAGATGGGACCCATTCGTCGCACTCTCATGGACATAATGCGAGGCATTGTCAATCGGTTTAGAGAATAGCATTTGTTATAAGTAATTGTTGTTGTAAATATAAGCTTCCAGAAATCTCCAGTCTGCTTAGTCATGGTGATATGCGTACCATAGAACTTTCTAATACATGTCATCAAGTCACGCAATTATTAAGTAATACTATTAAAACAGTTCTTTTTGTAAGCTTCTGGAATGTTCTAGAACACTTTGTGAATGTATATAAGGACTCAGTTAGAAAGCTATACCGTGAGATGAACTTTAACGGTTAGGAAAACTACACAATGAGGTACTACAGAGACAAGAATAAAAAAGTATCAGTTGCTAGTTTCAAGCACATTTGTAAGAGAAATTTATTAATGACCATGCAGACAGACTTCTTTTAACTTCTGGACGAAATAGATTTATAGTCCTGTCATTTGCCGATTCGTTGTTTTTTTTATTCTTTCTTTTCTTACTGACACTAACAGGCTAAAGTCTTCCATATGAAAACACAATACCGCATTTTCCACTTCTAATTTACATACAAAAAAGCCAGCCCTCATTTTTAATTTACATCTGCCGCCAACATGAACAATAGTCAAACTTCCTGTATTCTTTTCATTTAAGCGCTTGATGCAGAATTATTCTTTGATAAATATATGTTATTTGCCGGCTGGGAAGTCCGTATGGTGAAAAATTGTGACCGAGGTCTTGGAAATACTGCTCGAGGCAGTAGGCCGAGGGCAGCAT